GATGCTCAGGTAATCAAGTATGAGAAGAACCAAGGGTAAGAAAATATAATGTGAGTTCCACAGCATAAAGTGTTATATCAGATGTATGGGGATTAGAGAAATTACTTGATTCACTAAAGAGACAATCCGTGCCCATTCACTCTTGTCAAATGTTCGGACATCCTCTCCTGCAACTGTTATACGACCACTATTTGGCTGCATAAGTCAGACATTTAGCTTATTTATAGGTTTCATCTGCACAAGACAAGTAAAATGAAATTGATGGCTCAAACATATAAAGAGAAGAAAAGCAAACCTCATAGAAACGTGCCAATAGCTGTACAATAGTACTTTTTCCTGCACCGCTTGGGCCCACTAGAGCAGTTACAGTTCCACATTTTAGCGTTAGATTTAGACCATTTAAAATTTCAACATCAGGTCTCAAGGGATAAGAGAAATGCACATCTGCATAACAAAATCAGGTTACTCATTAGCACATTGGAACACTATGTATGCATACTCATACAGAGATAATTCCTCCCTCATGATAAAAATTATAATGACAACTTAATTTACAACACAATTGGTATTAGAACCCATGAAAAGCAAGCAGTTCATGTTAATAACTACATGGGCTTATTAGATGGTATATATTATAACCAAAACCACAGTGAGGAATAAACAAAAAAGAAAAGTTGGTAATCACTGCACTTTAAAGACAATGCATCCATACCTTCAAGACAAACATCACCAGACCAAGCTAAGCGACTAATGTTACTAGCTGACTTCAGAGCTGACATGTAATGTGTATTTACTGACTGATTTTTCTCACTTGAACCATCAATGAGGAACAATCTGTAATTTTCATCAAGTAATTTCTTATGTTGCATCTCCCTTTCTAAACCATAAGCAAGGGATTCATCAATTTCTATCCCAGACAAAACAGAGTTAATCCTCTCCACAGCAGCAAAAGTTCCACGAAGATCTCCAAATGTATTAACCAGGCCTTGAACCTAGTTAGCTCAGACACTTAGAAAAAGCATTGAGAGGATGGAAATAGTACTAAGGTATACATACAATAGAAACTGACTCACAGCGAAAGTTAATGTGAACGTGTAACCAATGAAAGAAGCCACAGTTCCAACAGAGAGTTCACCCTGCAAGCAGGAAAAAATTAGCAAAATATGAATTTAGATCAATCGTAGCTGAAACCATGAAATGTTATGCCCAATTGGTTGCTGACAAGATGAGGTTGTGCGAACACAGATGAATAAATGATGGGAGATGAGGGACTGAATCTGCATTAAGCTTTAGAAGGGTCACAAGTGCTTACCGCCTTCACTTTGCTTCCTCCAAGACAATATAAGGCCATTAGAGATATATAAACAACAACTCTAGTCAAAGATTCATTAAGGGATTTAAAAGTCCCGAGCTTTATTCCACTGCTCTGGTAAGCTAGCACCTGCCAAGCTCATGAAGAAGATGCTAAGTGCATTGAATGGCTTTCCTTTAAAAGAAAAAAATTCACTAGCTTGTATTACTTTACCTGTCTACCAAACATTAACATCTGGCGCTTTTCCCCACCGAAGGATCTAACCTGCAACAGCATGTCGTTACCAATATAATGATCAAGTGCGCACGCAATCTTAAACCACACTCAATTCTGAATTCTGAATGACAAAGATTGACTTCTGTGGCTGATAAAGAAATTATTGTACAAGAATTTCAAAAAACTTACAGTGCGTATGGCAGAAAATGTTTCTGTCACACAATCAGATATGGATGCTTGAGCTAATCCATGAGCCTTGAAAACAGGCACAGTTGATCTCTTGTATACAGCTTCAGAAAATTGATAATAGTCATAATCAGGGAAAAGAACATGTTTCAACAACATACCAAATTTCCCACCTAAAGGCTACAATGAACATTAGGCAACCATCAAAAGGACGAATACTGGCAGTATTGGAAGATGTGCAGAACCTAATCTGATACAATTGGCAATTTCAGATACTAATATAAACAACTACTATTTGTGAAACATCACAAATTAGGAGCTGGTTATGATGTATAAAGTATTCCTAATCCTAAAACAAAAAGTCAATAATCCGACTTGTATTTCTGGTATCTTTTACCCCACTTCCACAGGAAGCTTAAAACATGACAAAAATGATGATAGCCATGGTGCTTGTTACTTCTACTGTAACCTATGCAAGAATCAATTTTAAAACAATCATGAAAGTAATTATAAAGCTCTATAGTTCTGTGAGATTTTCTACAATGAAAGCAAAGGAAGAGATCCACAACCATCCTCATGTGTGGAAAAGCATACAATATCAATTTCAAAACAGTCTTGAAGACAAGATAAATACCAACTAAAATAGACACGGTGAGCATCAACACAGCCAGGATTGGTGCAAGTTGGGGAGCCAAAGCAAATAGTATGCATATTGTCCCGGTAACCTACAAGGCACAAAGAAAACAGGAGATGTATACTTGAGAACATGAGTGATAAAGGGAAAACGAATCCACCAATTAGATTCTGCTGCAAAGTGTTACTTCTTAATTTCCATTTTGTAATACAACAATTTGATTCATATAATTGTAACAAACACATTTGGAAGCAATCACATAATGTCAGTAAAGTAAATCTGAAAATCAGGAAACCATTTAGTGCTCTGGTGGTGAAAACTGAGTGAATTTCAAGAGAATCAAAACCAGGTATTGCATGCGTAAATGGAGGCAACATAAAGCTCACTTGTACTTGGTGTAGAGTTGCTTGCCTCAGTAAGTGCCCTGAATCCACGGTCCCTGGAAATGTTTTCGCTCACAACACTTTTAATAGAACCCAAATCGGATGTTAACAACCCCGTCAGTTCACCAACCTGTAGAAAATAGATGGTATCATATACAGTCCTCAAATAAAAACGTGACCTGAACACACATAATTTAAAATAAAAATAATAACGATAAAGGTCAACATACACACCTTGTAACGGTCAAAAAACTCGACCTGCAAGGATGAACAAAAGAACAAACCAGTATCACAAATTAAGAAGAGAGATTTCAAGTTTGTATTAATTAACACTACTACAAATGAAATAACTGAACTTTACCTTTTGAATCAAAACCCTTCCGAAAATCTGAGCTCTGAGTGTGGACATAACCTTTTCCCAAATAGTATTCAGGTTAACAACGAAAACTACTGTTAAAATTGGCTCCAAAGCATACAAAACACCAACTTTACTCAGCAGTTTCCACAATGGCTCTGGCCTCTTCCCAATGAGTACTTCGAAAAACCGCCCTAAACAAAGAACAAGTATCGATTTGTTACCTTTCTTTACCTTCATTTTTCTCGCCAACCAAACAAAACATATAGAAAATTTGAAACATTGAAGTGAAATTGTCTTTCTCTCTCTCTCTCTCTCTCTCTCTCTCTCGCTTTCGTTCTGTTAGTACCTGAAAATATGGGCATTGAGAGAGTGCAAGCGCTGCAGCCAATGAGGGCGAAAGCCGAGATGGCGAGCCTGAGTTTGTGCTTGAGCAGAAGGCTCAACAATAACCCCCAGCTAATCACGCTCGGCGGCTGGTCCTTGGAGTCCGGCCCGTCGATTTTCGGGTCGGGCTCGCTGACAATCGGGTCGGAGGCGGGCCCAGACACGTAGGCGAAGGAGGCGGTGATGGTCTTTGGCGGCGGCGGCTTCGGGAGACGATAGTGTGAGAAGCGCGGGAAGGGATGTGATTGACGGAGAAAGGACAGCGCGAGTTGCGGTTTGACTGTACTGGCGGGCGTTGAGATGAGAGTCGGGGGAAGAGGGAGTGTTAGAGAGGTCATGGCTGCTGCTCTCTGCTCGAGAGATAGTGTAAAGAATATTTTGGTTGTGTATCGATCAATGGATACAATAGGAAAGCTCCGGCAAGTACAACAAGTAACAAGATATGCGGCTGATTGAAGGGAGATGTAGAAGATTCATGCGCGATTTGGAGCACCAACAGATTGCTTCTTGGCAATGGGGCGAGATAACGGTAAAAAATATTTGGGAACAATATCTTTCATCCCCACGCGCGAAACTACCAAAGTATCTCTATCTGTAACAGGCTGGCAGGACTCGCTCCAAAACCTTTTTTTTTTTTTTCTATTTTAAGAAATGTGAAATTAAACAAACTCAATTTCATATTGGAAAAAAATAAAATTGGGTTTAGGTCATACAATAATACAATATAAATAAATTGATCGATTTTTTACCATATACAGTCTCATGTTTCAGTGCTTCACGAGCAAAACAGAGACTAGAAAAAGAAAAAGAAAATAAAAAAGAAAGCTGGGGAGAGAGAGAGAGAGAGATAATAGAATAGAGGGAAAGACAGCATCAGCACGTCCCAGTGTCACCCACGTGTCTCCTCGAGAATCGCCAAGAGTTGAGACCCTCACGAGATTCTGGTCTCCGCCCCATCGCCTCGATTCACCACCCCCAACCAAGCCCAACAAAACCACAACAACAACAACAACAAAACTCAACTCAACTCGCTCACTAACTCAGTCCGTCCTCAGTGAATCTCTCTCCTTATCTCTCTCTCTCTCTCTCTCTCTCTCTCTCTCTCTCTCTCTCTCTCTCTCTCTCTCTCTCTCTCTCTCTCTCTCTCTCTCTCTCTCTCTCTCTCTCTCTCTCTCTCTCTCTCTCTCTCTCTCTCTCTCTCTCTCTCTCTCTCTCTCTCTCTCTCTCTCTCTCTCTCTCTCTCTCTCTCTCTCTCTCTCTCTCTCTCTCTCTCTCTCTCTCTCTCTCTCTCTCTCTCTCTCTCTCTCTCTCTCTCTCTCTCTCTCTCTCTCTCTCTCTCTCTCTCTCTCTCTCTCTCTCTCTCTCTCTCTCTCTCTCTCTCTCTCTCTCTCTCTCTCTCTCTCTCTCTCTCTCTCTCTCTCTCTCTCTCTCTCTCTCTCTCTCTCTCTCTCTCTCTCTCTCTCTCTCTCTCTCTCTCTCTCTCTCTCTCTCTCTCTCTCTCTCTCTCTCTCTCTCTCTCTCTCTCTCTCTCTCTCTCTCTCTCTCTCTCTCTCTCTCTCTCAGAACTGCTCTGAGAGTCCATGGGAGGCAACCAGTCGCATCTCCACACGAACATTCCTCGCCGACTCTAGAACCCTCTAGAAGACCCCTTTCTCTGTTGACTTTCTGCTTCCCAGAACAGATGGCTCTGCTTCGTTGCATTCTCTTCCTCGCTGCACTCTGCTCTCTGATTCCTGCTCTTCACGCCAGCGCTGGCGATGCTGATCCGATTTACAAGTATGCCTTTTTCTCACATGTTTCTGTTTAATTTTAAAACTAATTTACTGATTGGAATTTCCCTTTCGTTGTCTTTGAGTCTTCCCGAGCTCGTATCAGTAGTATTTGATTTCTTTATCCTATAATAATCGAACTCACTGAGTTAAGTATTTGAGTTCGATAGAATGCTCTCGCTGTTTGACTGATAAGCTAGGTTTTAGTTATAAAGTCTTCATCTTTTAGAGGTCGAAAACTTCAAAATCTGGAAAAGGTTTCGTATTTCCGTACAACGATTGGTGTCTTTGTACATGTGATGTTTTTGTTACCTTATGACGATAATGATGAAAATTCTACAATCATTTAATGCTAGGAAAAAAATTTAAAATTTTCTTTTAATATTTTTAATGAAGATTAGTGACCTATTATTATCAGTGATTAGCATGCTCTGGTATTTATTCGAAGGAAAAAAGATAAAAGTGTTGTGTCAGGAATTATATGCCAGAAACATAGAGTAAATTTGTTCTGCTATTTGATGTGATTTCATAAGTACAAAATTTATATCTACAGGATTTCGTTTCTCCTGTTCTCTTCTCGTGGCTGTTAGAATAATATTCATTATGATTTCGATGGGGTTTTCAGGTCTTGTGTGGTGCAGTGTGAAAAATCTGGATGTGTAGGAGAGAAATGCTTTCAACACTGTAAATTTTCATCTGATGGGAAACCTATTGATGGTCCATGGTACATGCAAGAACCGCTTTATTTGCGCTGGAAACAATGGGACTGCCGCAGTGACTGCAGGTACCACTGCATGCTTGCTAGGGAGGAGGAGAGAGAGAAACTTGGTGATAAGCCTGTCAAGTATCATGGAAAATGGCCATTTCAGCGTGTTTATGGCATCCAGGTTTTTCTCTCGTATTTAGTACAGAACATTGGTTATTCATCTGATTTAGCTAATTTTACTTGCGTATATGATGGCCTAATCATTTTGAATGAACTTTCTCATGTTTTCATGTTCATAGGAACCTGTTGCTGTTGCTCTTTCTGCTCTCAATCTTGCCATGCAATTTCATGGTTGGATATCTTTTTTCATCCTTGTATACTACAAATTGCCTTTGAATCCAAATAAGAGGACTTACTACGAATATACGGCCGTGTGGCACATCTATGGGATCTTATCAATGAACTCTAGGTTTTGGAGTGGTGTATTTCACAGCCGGTAAGTGGTTTTGAATTCCTTTACATCATGAATGATTTCAACTTTTGGCCAAAAGAATATTGGTAGACCTTCCCTCTGCTATAATTTTTCTCTGTTTTCTGTCTTGACTTGGTACATTGCAACAGAAAAACTATGCTATAACTTATAGTACTGATGCACAATTAATGCGGTGATTGTGCCTAGTGTGAGGAAGAACACAATTTTGATATGTTCATGTTAAATGTAATGTTAATTATTTTCAGACAGTTTTTAACCTTTTTTTTATACAATGTAGAGATGTGGAGTTAACAGAGAAGCTAGATATTTCTTCTGCTGTAGCACTACTTGGATTCTCACTCATTCTAGCATTACTTCGAGCTTTTAATGTGAGAGATGAGGCTGCCAGGGTCATGGTTTCTGCTCCGCTGATTGCATTCGTGACCACACACATACTGTACCTGAACTTCTATAAACTTGATTATGGTAATACATTTGCCAAAAACCTCCATTCATTGAATGACAAACCATAGTTTTAGTTGCCTTTAGTTCACTACTTGCTGTGGCATAGTAGTGGGACTCAATCCTTGGACAATGAGCTTAAACAAGTTTTGCAGGTTTGAACATGAAAGTGTGCATGGCCATGGGCATTGCTCAGCTTCTTACATGGGCAGTTTGGGCTGGTGTTACTCGACATCCATCACGCTGGAAGTTGTGGGTGGTGGTGGCAGGAGGAGGCCTTGCCATGGTCTTTGAGATATATGACTTCCCACCTTACCAGGGTTATATAGATGCGCTTGCTCTCTGGAATGCAATCAACATACCTCTTACATACCTTTGGTGGAGTTTTGTCAGGGATGATGCTGAGTTTATGACATCGGCCCTCCTGAAGAAAGCAAAGTAGCAGTTCTGGACCTAAAGCATGAATGATCGAATGGTGCAATATATCAAAGTACATGACATGCGCACCCCTGTTAATTTATGAAGGTTCTCTTTTTTCTCATGTGTAATGCGTTTCTTCTTCGAAATGCTTACCATGATGTGGTTCCCTTCGTTTTTTGCATTTCATTGGTAATCCAATTGTTTCCACTGTATATGTGGGATGGGATCCAGATTTCCAGGTCTTTGTGTTGGTGCTTTTTTTTTTTCCCTGGAAAATCTCAGTTCGCATATGTAAGAATCAAATAACCAAGTTACTGTATTTTGCTGTATATCCTTTGTGGAATACCATTTAGCATGCTGTCTATGTAGTTGTAGCATATAAGCTTTTATGCGGAAAGGGTCACAATGATGGGGTTTATTCTGCCAAAACATTTTACGTGCAATTCGGATATTAATCTTCAAATACAATGGCCGAAAATCTAACCAAAAAGTTATATGGGGAAATTCAATTTTTGTAATATCGTTTTTTTCAATCAAGCAAATTAAGTGTCGTTGAATTATTTATTTTGTGGTGTCCAATTTACATATTCTTTTTTCTTTCTTTTTTAACCTCGTGGTGTACGGCATCGTGGCCATAATTGACATTTTTCTTGGACTCGGTGTATATTCTAAACTGGACGGATTTCGGCAGGCATTTCGTTCCAAAACACACTCGAAAATTCGGAAATATTTTTGCTCACTACTTTAACCCAAGGTGTACTATCACCACTCTTCTCAACACTTGACACTTTCCATTGGCATAACCATAATTAACTCTTTACTTTGTATTTATGCAACCATGGTTATGTTAATAGACAAGTGTCAAATGTTGAGAAGGGTGGTGAGGATACACCTTTAGTTAAAGTGGTGAGCAAAAATGCTCCCTGAAAATTCCCCGAAATGGCATACTAAATTTTTATCCTTCATACTTGAGTCATTAAAGACAAAATCCTAAAAATCTTTGACACTTAATTTGCCTTTTTATTTTTATTTTACATCAATTAAACTCATGTTTAGTCATCTGTAAATAGGATAATTAGATTATGAATTTCTATTGAAGTTGTTTACTATTGCTAAACCATATGGATTGAGGAGAGTTATATTTTGAATTTTTACTGAAGTTGTTTACTAAGGCCCTGTTTGGGATTGCTTTTTTTCGTCAAAAACCTGTTTCACTTTAAAGTTAAGCAATTTAAGATGTTTGGTAAAAATAAAATATCTCAATTATTTTAAAAGCAGTAGTCTTTTGATAGCAATTTTTAAAAGCAAGCTTTGGGTTGATTTTTGAAGCTGCTTTCAAAAGAAGCAGAAATAAGCCTTTAATGAATTTTTTAAATTCCCAAAATACAATCATTCATTTTTTAAAATGACACCACCGCCACCGACACTGCCGCCACCATCACCCCCTCTTCATCTTCCACCTCCACCACCTCCACCTCCACAACAGTCATCCCCACCACCACCACTACCACAACCACCTTTACCATCTCCACCACCTCCACCACCTCCTCTTTCACCACCATCTTCACCTCAATCTCTTTCAACACCTCCACTACCACCACATAATTAGCGCATAACACTTTCAACATCGTATCTATTTGAGTCTGTGGGGGTTTTTTTGTTCTAGCAGCATAACGAAAGGGCTTGGGCTGCTGTGAGAAGAAAGCGAACAAAAAAGCCTCCTGATGCCTGAGTTCGAGTACCAGACTCCCAAAAGAATTTTTTAAAAGACTTGTTGAAGCCTTAGAAAAATACATTTGGGTTCTTTTCACTAATGACCAGAAGAACGTATTAAATTTGTCGATGACTTAGCGTGAGGAGCTTGTGGCATGGGAGCTGAGCTTTCACAAGTTTAGCAATTTGAGAGAAAGAGAGAGACCAAAGCATGAATTTCTTGCAGAGAAAACAGGTTTTAGAGTGGGAGAGGGGAGAATTAGGATGGCTTCTATCTTAGAACAGATAGAAACTATGGGAATAGAAGATGGGAAAATTCCAGTTTGCTTGACAAAGCTTGGTCTTGCTCTGGAATGGTGTGTGTTGCTGGGTAGAGGAAGCTCTGTTTTATAGGCATTTGGAACCCTAATTTCGTTGATCCTCCATTCCCACTTTTCCTTTCCCTTTTTCCAATTGCTCCCTTTCTTGTGAAAAATCTTTGACAAGAGTGCCTGAATCAATGGCTTCTTAAGGTTCCAAGGTTTTGTGCAGCTGAGCCTCTCCATGGGGGTGAGGCGCCACTTGCTTTTGCCTTTGATTTTCAAATCAGAGCTTGCAGAGGAAAAAATAGAACAGAGGAAGTTGTTTGTCCACTGGGTATTTCTCTTACATGGATTTCCTATGGTCCTTGCTGTGATTCTTTGTTGACCACATGGGAGCTCTGATATGGGTGGAGCTCGATGCTGAATTTTTAGGAGACGCTGGGCTGGGCTTCGTGTATAGCTTTGAGGTTTTTGGTGTTTTCTCTTCCAGCGGCCCGCACGCTTTCGTCCAGCTGCTGGAAGTGGTTTACTCGTTTTGGGCATTCTAACTGTCATGGATTTTCCTAAATGCTACAGCAGCCTATGGGATGTTCTCCTAAGGCACTGGACTCCATTCTTCTCTCTCTCATGCTAACCCATGTATTTGGGCCCGAGGAATGGGCCTGAGTTTTAGTGCTCCCAAGTGGCCTAAAACTTCCATTCCTCAGTCCCTCAATGGGCCCTGTGAGTGCTCGTACCCATCCATACCACAACCTTTTCAGCAAGCCCCGGATAATTATGTGGCTTGGGCCCACTTGAGCTTGTAGCATGGCATGATGGCATCGCAGGTTGATGCGTCGTGCTTGTGCCTGAGTTTTATTGCACCTTATTAAACCAATATCGAATTAAATGGCACCGGATAGGTTTATGGGCGCGAATTTATGAAGCCGTTGCATTTTTGGCACGCTTGCTTGGTGTGATGTGTGGCCCATGGCTCGTGTAGGTGTATCCTACAATTTCCCATTGTGCCCCAATCGGGTTTCTTTTGTGATTAATTATTTGTGCCGGGCCGAGAATAAACTTGGGCCTAGCCCCTGGATTTTTGGGCCTGAACAGAGTCATTATTAACAGTTACAACAATTTTATATTAAAATTTAATAAATGGTTTTGACACTGTTTTTTGTACTATCATCACTACTATAACACTACTTTCCATCTAACATTAAACATTTTAAATGAGTCCTCCCCATCACTTACTGTCTCCTATGTTCAAAACTGAAGTTTAGTTTGCATGACATTAAGAAAATGTAAGGAAAACCTGTCTGTGTTGTTACATTGGAAGATGTAATCCAATTTTACAGCAGAAAACAACGTTTTTCAGGGGTCTGCAGGACTCAAGCCGCTTCTAGCAAACCATCATAGTGCTTTGTTTATAAAGACCTCTGTAGGAGTGGATTTTCGATGTGGGGCGTTCACAAAAGGCAAGCCTACAGAGAAATCCATATTTATATTTTTAATGTTGGTGTATATATTAAAAGCGTATAGCCGCGCGGCTATACCCTTTAACATGTATCTCTCTTTTTGAATCACTTTGATTAGTAGTTAGGCTTTACTTAGTGAATATTAAAGGAAACAAAGAAAAAAGAAACAAGAAAGATTGAATTACTATTTATTAAGTAACATAATTCATGAAGTTAATTGAAAATTTTAATACTAATTATTCACTAAATAAATAATAATTAAAATATAATTACTAACTGTACTAGTTAGATAAATCAAATATATTATTTAATTACTAACAATAAAATTTTAAAAAAAATTAATTAACCCAAATATCCTAAGTTTAGATTTATTTTTTTTAAAAGGACCTTTCCCGACAAAATTTCGTCGGGGCAGGTCAACAGACCTTTCCCGACGAAATTTCGTCGGCACAGGTATATTTGTCGCGAAAAACGTTATCCGACAACAGTTTGCCGGCATAGGTCTATGCCGACGAAATTTCGTCGGGAAAGGTGTTACGTTTATTTTATTTAAATTTTTAATTTTTGAAATATAAAATTAGTTTGTTTACTCTTTTTTTTTTTTGGCTAACCTCTTTAATTTAATATATGTAATTAAGTAATATCTTATTAGCCTTAATATCTCCTATATTTCAACAAAATATATAAATATATATATATATAACT